TGTTTACGGTCCAGGTGAACAGCCCCTATTAGGTTGAGATGCCTATTAGGCGCAGGATGCCTGTTAGGTTCAGATGCCTGTTATGTTCAGATGCCTATTAGGTTGAGATGCCCATCAGGCACCCAGGTGGACTCCATGAAAGGGCTGTGAGCCTTCCCACTTTCTCCTTTCGGTCCTTAAGGTCTCTTACAGACAACAATGAAGGACATTTGCAGGCAATAAAGACATTTCAGGCAACAAGGACACTTGCAGGCAATAAGTACACTCCAGGCAATAAGGACACTTCCAGGCAACAAGGACACTTGCGGGCAATAAGGACACTTCAGGCAACAATCGAAGAAACTTCCAGGCAACAAGGACACATGCAGGCAGAATGCGATGACTCAATGATTTGACATCACCTGGCAAAAATTTCGATTGCACCATCGGGTGCAGGTGTGCCATAGGGTGCCGTTCGTGTTTGTTCCTGGGGGGTGTCGTAAAAGCGCCGAGAAAGGTGCGAATGATTCCTGTTCAATGTTTGTGAGGGTGCAGCGGAGTTGTTCATCATTCAAATCATGTTTTTTTTGTGTGTTTCCTTCTCTTCCTGTCGTAAAAAACGAGTGGGTCTCGATCAACTGTGAAAATGTGGCATTCTTTCCCATAGGCCTTTATCTTCTCCTCAAAGGCCATCGGCGCTGTGTAGATCCGGCGGAGTTTGTGATCCGCTGTTGACAGACGTGCCTGTGTGTGGGCTGGCCCCGTCATTTCCTTACTAAAAAGCTAGTTTTTTTTTTTTTACCCCTCCGATGCGATCCGGGGAATTTTTTTTCGCACGAAATTCCCCGTCTTGACTCAGTTCGAGGAAGGGGGAGGATGCAAAAAAAAAATAATTTTCTGAAAGCCAACATGTCGCAATCCCGGAGTGCAGCAATAAAGATAATGGTTGCCATGTCGGCATTTAAAAAAGGTGCGTGCGGATCTGCCTTTTAAACATCTATTGTGACTCTAAACGTATTCACTTTTTCGCGCCCTACTTTCGCTCGGCTCACATAAAAAAAGATATCCAGTGGAATGACACTCATGCCGCAATGTAATTTTCGTTGACAGAATCTATCCGGGGACGGGGAAGCGGGGAAGCGGGGAAGCGGGGACGGGGAAACGGGGAAGCGGGGACGGGGAAACGGGGAAACGGGGAAACGGGGAAACAGGGAAGCGGGGAAGGGGGTGGACATCGGCTTCGAATCCGGCAAGTCAGAAAGGGCAATTTGCCACTCTGCTCATTTTAATGGGGACAATGGCCCCCCCCTCCCCCCCTCTAAATGATTTGACGCGTGGATGCATAGGAGAGCCCCCTACCACCGATTTCTGGCCGATCAATTTTCAAAGTTTCTCGATTATAGAGAAGGCGGGAGTAGGAGCATCTGTCAGCAATGTATCCAAAGCTGGANTTTCGTTGACAGAATCTATCCGGGGACGGGGAAACGGGAAAGCGGGGACGGGGAAACGGGGAAGCGGGGACGGGGAAGCGGGGAAGCGGGGACGGGGAAACGGGGAAGCGGGGAAGCGGGGACGGGGGTGGACATCGGCTTCGAATCCGGCAAGTCAGAAAGGGCAATTTGCCACTCTGCTCATTTTAATGGGGACAATGGCCCCCCCCCCCCCCCCCCTCTAAATGATTTGACGCGTGGATGCATAGGAGAGCCCCCTACCACCGATTTCTGGCCGATCAATTTTCAAAGTTTCTCGATTATAGAGAAGGCGGGAGTAGGAGCATCTGTCAGCAATGTATCCAAAGCTGGAGGCTTATTGAGTTGGCAGGTTCGGCTTAATTATGGTAGATTCAGTTGTGTTTCTTGAGGAGAGGCAATTTTTTCGTTGCTTAGCATATCGTTCTATTTATTTTAGAGGAAAATGTTAGAGCAATTGACACTTCAAGGCATTCTTTTTTTTTCTCGTTTTGTGCTTTCCTCACTCCAAGAACTCCGAGATGAACGTTTTCGCACTTGAAACATCCCCGTTCGAGATGACTTGGTCCCCCGTCCCCGACCGCTTGGTCCCCCGTCCCCGGCCGCTTGGTCCCCCGTCCCCGCCCTCTCGCACTGGCTTTGGCCATCTGCCCCGTGGCCCAGTTCCCGCTTCTTCCGTGGATTGTTACAGCTTAATAGTTTAGCATTACAGACGCCACGGCACGACCCGATCTCGAAGGTTTCAGTTGCCCCATTCTGCAGAATGCGCGAAACGTTGCAGCTAGCATGTAGCAAAGCAGGCTGGGGACATTTGCGTCGCGGACGATGTAGCTACGCGCGAGGCACGGAAGATGTTAAGAGAAGGATCAAGACAAAAAAATGAATGAATCCGGTTTCATCATGGGCGTCTATGAGAATAAGATTACCGCCGTCGAGCGGATCCCCGTAGAGGACCAACGTGAGATCAGATTAATTCAAACGGATCCGGTGCGTGTTACCAAGAAGTCGATGGACCCGTTTAAATGGGAAGTTCTGCTCAGGCCGTTCAATCTCGACTATGGATGACAACACGGGCGGAAATCTCTCTCCGCATCCAAACCCAAACTTTGCGCGCTTGCTGGGTGGGTTGCCATCCCGGCATCCCACTTGCTTGAAGGGTCGCCAGCCCGGCATCCCACTTGCTTGGAGGGCAACCGCTTCGACATTCCACATGCTTGGAGGGTTTCTCAGCTCGGTCAGCGACCCCACCCACTCTCACACCGAAATGAATTGCCATCATAACCTCGTTTCCTAATGTTGAAGTTCGGCGTCCATTGTAATGGGAGCCCATTGTAATGGGAGCCTCCGAGGAGTCGCGTGGGGGTCGCGGAGGGGATCCATAATCCTCCAGGAGCAACTTCGGGGCGAATAATCCTCTAGGAGCATAATCCTCTTGGAGCAACTTCATCATACTTCGTCGGAAGGCCCTCAAAAAGCCAATCCGCCGAGAAAGGACCCGAGAGGATAATCCCCGATAAAGAAAGCCGTAGCAAATCGACTTGGGTGATCTCGGCAGAGGATGAGGGTCCCCATAAGCAGCCCAATGGGGCGGCGAATTGCCCCTCCTCACCCCCTTATTTGGGGAGGGGAGGGGAGGGGGAGGGGAGGGGGGCCGTGTCATATAAAATGCATGTGCCGCGTGTCATAAAAATACCTGCCGGGTTTTCGCACCTTCTCCTAATCGGTGCTAATGCATCTCTCTCGTGCATGCCCCACTTTGTCCCACTTTGCCCCACTTTCGTCTCCTCTTCGTCGGTCGAGGAGCCAGAGGGACGTCACGTCGGCGGCAAAAAAAAAGGACATAAAAGAGGCAGGAAGTGATGTTGCTCTCGGCTGGTGCAAGACTCGGTCGATTCAGGGAAAAAAAAAAAAAACAATTTTACATTTAAAATCACGTTTTCGAATATCGAATAATAATATGATAAACAATGAATAAAATTTTGTAAAGTAATTCAAGTCGGTACAGTCAAAAGTGTTCATCAGAACATGTTCGACCCCAAACTGCTTCGGCACGTACGAAAATTTGCGCAGTTCGTCGAAAATGCAAAATGACCTTGGAAGTGACACGAAGGACTTCGATCGGCGAGAGCGGGGCGAATTGAATTTCGTGAAAATGAGAGCATACACCGAGGGGAATCTCCCTCTGGGGAATCGCCCTCCGGGGAATCTGCGGAGATTCCCTTCATGCAGATGGATGGAGAGGAAATTACCGGGGGGAACGAGTGCCTTGGGGATGGGGAAATTCGCGGCTCCATAAGTCTTCCCTGAAGTCTTCATGAATTTAAAACGATATCAGGCTCCTCCTCGCTATCAGGCTCCTCCTCGCTATCAGAATCCTCCTCGATGTCGGGCGGCTCCTCATTCCTCTTCATTGATGGGATCGATAATCCTATCTGATCCCGGCTTCGCTTCGCTGCTGCCTTGATTATGCAAGGTTCTTCCGGAGATTCCGGATTTTTTTTTTGCTTTCGGAGGAAAATTTGCAAACTCGATGGGAGTTGGCAAATCTGCGCCAAATTGAAATTCCGAATCTCGTCCAGCCATCTTGAAGGATGATCGAGGCGATATGCGCATGAAATCGCTTTTTTTTAAAGACTTTTTTCATTTCCACGACCTTGGAAATTTATTGGACTCTTTTAGACGCGGTTAGGAGTTTCTGTGCCAAATTTCGTCGCAAAACTCATTTTAATTTTTTTTTTCGAGGTGGTTTATGTGAACCTCGACGAGCGCAGAGATTTCGCTGAGACGAAAAGTGCGACTTGAGAAATATTTTTCATGACTTATCAACGTTGCTGAAATTTTTTTTTTTGGCTTTATTTTGGTGATGAGGACTTGCCGTGCTAATAATTCCCTCATTTGGCAATCTTGCTTCGCAATAGAACGATACGCGGTGAATTGCCGCCGCCGACGCAATTTGCGACGGTTGCACGCGACAAACCTGCGAATTCTCGGCTGGGAATCGTCGCTCTTCGATTGGGAATCGTCGCTCCATGTTTCCAAATATTTTGGGGCCAATGCGAAGAAATTCTCCGGCTCGTCGAGACTTTCAGTTTCGAAACGCTGAGGTGGAATCTCGGTGCAACGAGTTAAATTTGGGTATACCCCAAAGTAAATGGCATGAGGGTTGGTACCACCAAAAGTAAATGATAGTGGGCACTTCGAATGACATCTAGGATGTTTTCGCAACTTCCATTTCCGTCGCTGGCAACCTTGTGGGGGCAACGTGCTGCATGCAACAAAGTGTTGTTCATAGACGAGAGCCGAGGTTTCGGATGATCATCACATACCATTTATTATAAAGCCTGAAACAAATATGCAAAGCCGAGGGTCTTTGCGGAAGCAAGCCGGATACATCCACGTACAACATCGCATAGATATATCGTGGGGTCAATGTACATTTCGATTATCCTAATGGTGAACGCTGGGATTTGGCATACACTTATGGATGAAACTCGCGATTCGTATCACATGAATCACAAACGCGAAGATCGGCGTTTTCGTTTTTTTTCGGTTTCACGTTTCGTCGGAGGCCTTGAAGGGGCGGAAGAGCGAGGGGGTCTTTGGCGAGGAGAGGGGGGGCGAGGCGTCCGATTTGCTCTTGGGGCTGATGGGGCTGGGGAGGGAGGCGGGAGGGGGGACGGAGCGGGGGAGGGGGGTGTGACCGGGGGATTGACCGGGGGTCTGACCGCGGATGGGGAGGTAGGGGTGGTAAGCGCCGGGCCAGAAGGCGGCGGCGGCGGCGGTCGGGGGCAAGGGGACGAAGGGGGAAGGGGGAGGCTGCTGGGCGTTCGCCGAGACGCCTTGGTAGGGGTTGTATGCTGCCTGCATCAGGTAGGCGTAGGCGAGGTAGGGGTCCATGAAGGGGAGGGCGAAGGCTTGGCGTTGACGCTTGTCTTTCATTCGGCGGTTCTGGAACCAGACCTGGAGGGGGAGGAGATGTTCTGGTGAACGAACGGTGTGGTGGGTTTGTGGGGAGTTGTGAATTCTTGGGGGGGATTGTAGGGGGGGAGGAGATCGATTGAATGTTGGGTTATTCTAGATTTTCTTAGGATTATTATTGATCTTAAGATTGCAGGAATGAGAAGCGATAGCTTGGTGAATGGGCCGATGGATTTAAAAATAATAATTTCATTCTGGGTCTCTCGAGGTTCGCGAGATTTTCTTTAAACAAGACCTTGAAAGAAAAAAAGGGCCAAATTCAAGGGAATTTTTTTTTAACTGTCCGTACGTATCGATAACGCAAAGCGAAGCGAACGATCGTCTCACCTTGATGGTCCCTTCCGGCAGATTGAGTTCGGCCGCGAGCTCGCACCTCTTCGGTCTCGAGACGTAATTCTCCTTGAGGAATTCCTTCTCCAGCCGCGCGATCTGGTCCCGCGTGAAGGCGGTGCGGTATCGCCGGACGGAGGATTGCTCCGGCCCGCCTCCGGCCACGGGGCTTCCCTGGTGGCAGCCGGACTCGGAGGATGCCGTGCCTGTGGAGGGAGGATGTCTTTATTGCAAGGTCTTTATTGGATTGGGATGTCTCGATTGCCGCTTGAGAACCAGATGCAAAATTTTACGTTTTCGTCGCGATTCGATTGCAGAGAATTTCGGGCTCGGACTTCTCTGCGAAAGAAAGTTTAGTTGAGCATCAGTCGGATGCGGAAAAAAATTGCGAATCCTGCCGACTCGTTTTCCGCGTTCGACGGATACGAGTGGAATCGAACTTCGGGGAGGAATCCGGACCCGCAGTCCCCGCTGGACTCGAATAAATCTTAGAATCGAGACTGAAGACGGCCGAAGATTCTCGGCGGGAAAGGCCGAGTTCGCACCTAACGTGGAAATTGACGGACCTCTCGATTCTCGGTATAATGAAAACAAGCGTCGGCCTGTCTCCCTGCGCGAAGAGCCACATAATACTACGACGAACGAAAATTCCGCAAATGAAGCAATTGAGAGGAACTTGGTGAAATACTTCGATTTCAGTGCAATGCAGCCATTTCTTGCGACGTCCAGCAAACCATTACATCACCAAAGCCTTACAAGTTACTACCTCGGAAATCGCGCCGAAATCGAAGCGGGAAAAAACGGCCGGATGAACTCACGGTCTGACTTGGAGTGCGGGTAAGGCTGATGGGCCTTGAAGGGCAAGAGCCGATCCGAATGGACCTTGTTCAACGCGATGGCACCTTCCGAGTCCTCCACGCCACAGTCGGACATCTGCAACGAAGCGTCTTTGCTGGGGGTCCGGAGGAACGGCTGCATCTCCCTCTCGCTCGCACCTGGGCTGTAATAACCTCCGAGCGGCTGCATGCCTCCTTATGAGGCAGGTGGTGGAGGTCCGTGGAGGTCTGGGCCCGAGTCATCATCCGACGTTGAAGACGCATGATGCGGGCGCGGGCGGGGCGGACGCGACGGCCAATCGGAGGCGAGGGGGCGGGGCCTCCGCGATCCCTCATGGCCAATCATCTCGCCTCGTAAGCAGGAAATCATCCGTGTAACCAGGGAGACAAATGATTCCAGGGATGGAAGCCAGGTTCTGACGCCCGCCACAATGCCCTCTCCGGGCCTGCCTCCCGTGAATGCGATCGTGCGTCACGCCCGATTTCCACTCGCGTTTTCCGCCGCGTCACGCCGGCTTCATCGGGGCTGAATGGTGCAACTTTCCATTTAAATATTTAGCGTCAGGATTTACTAATTCGGATTTCTTCCTGATCAAGGAGCCTCGAATTTAATGCATAGAAATTTTCGGACGATTGTCTCTCTCATTCAGGATGTTCTGAGAAGACTTCATGTTGAAACGACGTGATCTAAGGGGCCGAACCTGGAGGCAGTGCGGCACCTGGAAGAATTTTTCAGTCAATGATGGCAATTAAATAAATACCGCACTGGAATTTTCAGTAAATTTCGATCCTATTTTCATCGGGGATGCGAATTGAAGCGCGCGTCGGTTCCTTCCTTGTAGGAAGATCGAGCCGGAAAGACGCAAAACAAAAGTGATAAAGTTTTAGAAGCTTCATTCGCCCGGGAAATGGAAGTGCTGCGAATATCAGCAATTTTACAGGCTGAAATTTGTCGAGATGAGATTTAAAAGGCATTTAAACGGTCGTCGTCTTCTCCGGTCGCCTCTGGAGATGGAAAGGGCGAGATATGCGGGGAAAAGGCGGAAAAAAGGCGGCATCATCTCGGGCCGTCCGGATTTGAAAAATGGACGAAGGCGGAGAGCACGTCTGAGCATGGGCTTATCGAGCATGGGCTTATCCAGCATGGTCTTATCTCGCCGAGTGACCATCCCTTCCCAGGCTTCGCCTCATTTTTATGATATGCACATCGGGGAGGTCCGGAATGAGGGATCGTAAATCGGGGATGTTCCAGGAAGCCAGACGGGCGCATTGTGGCCCGTCTCGGGAGATCATGTGGAAGGGCCGTGTGGAAGGGCGCTGTGGAAGGGCCCGGAGAGACTCTATCGGCCCACGGGGGTTAATGAGACCCGTGTCATAAAACGCGACAGTCTGACAAATTATCCCTTCGGCCCGGCCTGTCCTTTGTCTCTTCGGAGACTCCCTCCCTTTTTTTACAGTTTAATGAAGCCCATCTGCATGGTTGTGGGGCTCCGTCGAAGGACGAGAGCGTGAGGCGCAGAGAGCGAGGCGCGCTTTTTTTTTCTCCTTCGAGGGTGATAACGAGTCTTCGTCCCACGGTCTTCTGAGTCATCTTCCGGAGATCTCGAGAATGGACGGTGCGATAAGGTAGGATCTAATTCATTATGACAATTTATTACTCCGACTGTCCTTGGAAGAGCGGCATTGTAACGCTCAGTGCTTAACGCTCAATGCTCAGCGCTTAACGCTCTACGCTTAACGCTCAATGCTCAGCGCTTAACGCTCTACGCTTAACGCTCAATGCTCAGCGCTTAACGCTCTACGCTTAACGCTCTATGCTCAGCACTTAAGGCTCAGCGCTTAACGCTCAATGCTCAGCGCTTAACGCTCAATGCTCAGCGCTTAACGCTCAATGCTCAGCACTTAACGCTCAGCGCTTAACGCTCAATGCTCAGCGCTTAACGCTGTAATCACTATTTTGGGCTTCGGAAAGGTCATGGGGTTCGTTTGATGAAATTATAATCCGAAAGGATCATTTTTCACTCCTCGCCTCCGACCGTCTTTTGTGTGAAGACGAACAAAAGGCGCAGCGAGTGCCGCCGGAAGGCCACCCTCGAAACGCCGGATCATGAGACAGGCTGCAGCAAGAAAGGAAAAAAAAATGAGGAAAAAAAAGAAAAAGAAAAAAGAGAGAGCCTGATTCCTCCGGACCGGGGCTTTGTCTCCGTTCGGGGTGAGGAATGCCTTTTTATAGTTCTTTATGAGCCTTATGGGCCCGGACGGCTCATAGATGCATGGCTCATAGATGCACGTGTTAACAAGTGAGTGCCATTTCAAGGATGCCGGACGGAATGCACGGAGACTTAACACCACCATCATAATTTCCCGCCTACCTTGCAGGCGCATTCCCTGCATTCCTCTTGTCCGTCCAAATGGGCGCAGCCGAATGGGCAGATCCCATGATCGGGGATCGTCCAGCTGGGAATCCCGCGCCATGGTGCCACGACATTCCCCGCATGCCATGACATCGTGCACTTCGGCGATGACAAACAACGAGAGGGCGGGTCGGTCTGCGAGAGGGCAGGTCGGTCTACTATTGGGGGAGAATTATTCATTAATCGGGCGATATCGCTAATCATTCATCGATCGGGTGACACCTTAGACTTTGCCCTTATTTGTCAACATCGTTAATTAGCTAGTAATTAGCCAATATCGGCATCAGAAGGAAATTCGAGAATCGTTTATCGGCCAGCATCAGATGTTAAAATGTTGCCTTAACATTGCAACTCGCTCGTTCTTAGAAGATTTTCGACCAGCTTAGACGCTTAAAGTTTGAAACAGCATTTTAAAAAATTGAAACAGCATGTAAAAAAATTTGAAACAGCATATAAACAGCATGTAAAAATGGAGGCTGCGGACGGCATCGTTGTGACAGCCTGAGCGCGATAGCATCAAACCGTGTTAAACCGGCTGAGAGAGATAGAGAAGAAAAAAAGCTTTTGTGTCATAAGAACCGCGTTGAGAGGGCGGCCGAGGGGTCCGGGCACGCGAATCAGATAAACTCCCCATATATCTGTCAATATCGATACGTTTATGGTTTATATCCCTCTTATCGATACGAGGGATCTCGGGGGATCCCGTTTCCCCCACCCAAAACGGGAGTCAATTAATCAACTAATTACCGGGAAAGCGCGTGACGAGGGGATGGAGCACGTGGAGACGCGGGGAGACACCGGGGGAGCCAGGGGGAGCCAAGGGGGACTGTGCCTGTGTGGCCTCGATGGGGAGTCCATCCATTCGTCCATCCATTTGTCCATCCATTTATGTTGGGACCGCTCCCAAAAGGAAATAAATATCACCACGTCTCCCTTTTTTCTCTCGGGCACGAGACTTTGATGGGTTTTAGCGCCTGTTTCCATTGACCATCATGACCTGGGTGGCTCCCGACATAATAAGTTACTACTTCCCCTTCGGAAGTCCCAGCTGGCCATTACACGCCCTTTTCGACGAATCTCCCTTTACAAATTCGGGCCTTGTTTACACGATTCCCAAAACGTTTGCTTTCTCCTCGGTTTCATTCAAGATTTCCCCCCGCTTTCTTCTTTCGTTCTCGCACAAAACGGGCGATTGGCCCGCCTCTGTGCTCGAAATGGGCAATTGGCCCGCTTCCGAAATGGGCGATTGACCTGCTTCCGAAATGGACGATTGACCTCCTCGGCTTCTCGAACCGAGTCAATTGAAGTAATGAGAATTCATTTTGTGTCCCTCGGCCGGGTCGCACCTTCCAGGCATTTATGGCGACCCTAAGAGATATTGGCCTGTTTGGGGCGATATTGGCCTGTTTGGGGAAAGAGCTCCGGGAAGAAAGCGAAGCAGATGGGCCTGCGTATTTCAACTTTTCTTGCGGAAAAAATCCGCAGATCGCTTTCCACCAGTTCTCAGCCGCATATAGAGTGCTTTCATTAATTGGATCATCGTAAAAAAAAAACTTTAAAAAAAACCTCGAGGTTATCCATAGGTGACCTCGAGATTTTTTTTTTCATGATTCGCTTATTCATTGTAAGACCTACATTGAAGCAAAACAAAAAACTCCAAAGCGAATGGAACCGCACAGTATGCTTGAATGCGCTTCATCGAGTCTGAAAGAGAAATGAAGGAGGTCAGAAGGAAACCAAGTCATTCTGGTGTGCCTTTCCCGTTAGCACCTTTGGGGAGACAATGGGAGTTGCAGAGTCCATCCGGGATCCTCAGTGCAATGGGTCAGGCAAGGAGGGATGTCAAGCATTGGAGAATCCACTTGGATGCCTACAGGACGGTCCGAGGGGGGTCAGTAGGGAGGACCATAGGATGGTCCGAAGAGAGGGAGGACCATCTGCTTCATAATGTGTACTGCTCAAGAGAGTTGAAGGATTTCAAGTTCGATGAACTTATTTTTGCATTTTTTTTTTTAACTACGAGCATGCTCTATTACGGTTGGGAATTGTGGCGAAAATTCAGTGAAGCTCGAAGCAGAATAATTCCCGGAGACGTCGACGAATCTTCGAGCTAACAGATGCGCATCCGGCCAATTGCACAGTCACATTTCCTTCGAAACGAAGGAAAACTACTGACGAGGCATCAAACGATATTTGCGAAATCGCCAGCGAAGTCCGAAACCGACAAGCGGGGAGAGGACGCGGGGAGAGGACGCGGGGCGAGGACGGCAAAGGGTCCCCTCGGCCCGTCTATGGTGGATGGGGGATGATGGCGATGGCGCCCGGGGAGATGGAGGGACAAGGGCTATAAACATTTTCCCCCTCCCTCCTGTAATAAACAGAGCGGCTGAGATCTCATCAAGCCATTAAGGGACAGTGATTATAGTTTTTAAATCATGGCATCATGCTCTTGATCGTTTTATTGGCACGGCCCACTAGATAGCATTCCAAGGCTTTTCATTGCACCGACCGACTGGAAAATAAAAAAACAAAAAAAAAGTCTTCCTCCCTCCTTTCCTCTGGCAGATTCAATCATCTCCTCCATTCACTTCCATCATTGTCTCCCTTTCCATCATTGCCTCCCTTTCGGCTATGGGTTATTTCCGTTTACATTAGCGCGGTTTACGACTTCGATCGGAACGCTTCTGGCCTCCAGCAATTGGAGAGTCCTAGAGTCCTGGAGTCTCTGGACGCGAGTCCTGTAGCTTCTTCGGCTAGCGGTTCCTTCCAAAGGAATCTGCTGCGACATTTCGGCTGAATGCGTTTGCATGCAATAAATTTGAATGGGGCTCTCGCGAAGGCAAGTCGAGT